AAGCTCTGAATTAAATCTGAAGGGGGGGGTAAGGATTTGTTTACATTTTTCTGTGACGTATTAGGAGCAGCAGTAGAATTATTTGTATTGTAAAAAAACAACATTTAGTAAACACTAATTGCTCCGTCCTTGCCCCCTAATGCCCTGCTCGAGACACCAAAACTTGTTTTTATTATTGTTAAAAATAAAACTATTTCGGTTCTGTACATAACAAATTATGCAACAAAATTGTGTCTTCTTGCATTGCTGGTTACCATTGACTAAGATCCAGATGTAAAATGATAAAACATATTGTCTTAGTATACACAACTGGATTCCCTTTGGATTGGGATGTGTTTTCTTAAAAACATTCCCCACCCTCCCCTTTTTAAAAATATGCTTAATTGGGGGAATAAATGATTTTTAGGTAAAAAGTGTTACTCATGAGGCCTCTGTTCTAAAGCTTAGACTCTAGTTTTAGTTCCTTAGGCCCAGGTTTAAAGCTTCAAGTTAGACCCAACTTATGACTCAGCTGATGACAGCCTGGGTCATATGATCAACACAGTCAATAGATGCCAGCCTTGCGGCCTTATAAAAATTTAACGAACCTTGATTGGTTTTAGTGGAGAATTAGTCTCAATGTCGAGTCTTCTTCAAATCCCAAAATCCGCCAATTTCCACCAGTGAAAATTTCCCAAACACAATATATAACCAGAGCTGGGAACTTTTGAATGATGGATATTGGGATTAATGCTTGATCCACTCTTTTTCTTAATCTCCAGATTAAATAATGCTTGTTCGCCTCTTGTTATTAATATTCTCCAGATTAATTAACTGATCGGTATTAAGGATATCCCATTCTAAAGTTTTCAACTCAGAGCTGGGAACTTTTGAATGGTGGATATCAGGATTAATGCTTGATCCACTCTTTTTCTTAATCTCCAGATTAAATATGACTTGTTCTCCTCATGTTATTTATCTCCAGATTCATCCCGATCAGTTAATTAATCTGGAGACTAATAACAAGAGAAGTACAAGCATTATTTAATATTTAATCTGAAGATTAAGAAAAAGAGGAGGTCAAGCATTGATTTCGATATTTACAATTCTAAAGTTTAATAAACCCAACTTTGTGGATTTGATAGTTCCAACCAAAATCCAAGGCGTCTTGAGTCTAATTTTTCCAATTTTTATGATCGCAGGCTCTGGATGAAACAACATTGATTAATTGATTGATTGATTTTCTAGTGTATGGATAATGTTCATTTTGACTGTTTGTTCAACAATACAACTCCTAATGCATCATCATCATCCGTTCCACAGGTATCTTTATTTATCTTTATCTGTATCTGTTAAAATATCTGTATCTGAGTCTGTATCTGTATCTGTATCTGTATCTGTATCTGTATCTGTATCTGTATCTGTATCTGTATATGTATCTGTATCTGTATCTGTATCTGTATCTGTATCTGTATATGTATATGTATCTGTATCTGTATCTGTATCTGTATCTGTATCTGTATCTGTGTCTGTATCTCTGTTAATGTATTGTATCTGGGTCTGTATCTGTATCTGTATCTGTATCTGTATCTGTATCTGTATCTGTATCTGTATCTGTATCTGTATCTGTATCTGTATCTGTATCTGTATCTGTATCTGTATCTAGTTTGTGAAGAGCGACCCTACCCTGTTCAAGGATGATGTGGATATAAGGTTCAGTAGAACTCTTAATACTTGCAAGGTAAACCTCAAACAAGGAACCACTCTAAAATACCGTTTTAACCGTCTAAAGTAGGCCTTTACAAGTGCCCGGTATTTTGTTAACAACTAAATCCCAATTTTTTTTTTAAAAAGATTTTTTCCAGGCATGATAGGTTTAAAATCATTTTTTTAATTTGAAAGACAAATGTTTTTTTTCTTTATGGGAAAATTAAACAAAACTTATGGCGTGAGAGTATTAAAACGGATAAAACATGTCAATTTATGTCCAATTTTATCCCCCCTCCCACCCAAATTTTGGTGGTGGTTGTGGGGGGGGGGGTTATTTGTGAACGATTCCCTGTCAGGAACAATAATCTGGAGAAAGTAGGAAAAGATTGTTAAGATCTTGAGGTTTGATGACAAACTTGTGCTTAAGTTCCTGAGCTAAACTTGAGTTGAAAACTAACTTTTAAAAGCTTGTCAATCTAGTGCTGGAATCCATTCCAGGACAGAGATAACAGGAATCCGTAAAAATTAAATAAAACCGATGAAAAAAATAATTAAAATGTATATTAATTTTATTGAGTGTTCTGAAAGGTTTTTATCGAATCAAATCGAAAAATAAATTTGTTAGAATAACATTTGGACATTTCAGTTAAGTGTGCATTGTCATTGCCTGCCCTTTAGTTTAAAAGTTTCAATTATAATTGGATGGTGGGCCCATGGAATCGTTAAATTTGTTCAAATTGTTAAAACTTTTAAATGAAAATACCCTCTCTCATCATTGCTCCTTAAACCTTAGACCAGGTCCTATTCATGGTTCAAGGTTTAAGTTTTCTTAAGCCTCATCCTTACTCCTTAAACCCAACTAGACCTAGTCCTATTTTGATTCAAGGTTCAAGGTTCAAGGTTCAAGTTCTCTTTATCCTCATCCTTACTCCTTAAACCAACTAGACCTAGTCCTATTCAGGTTCAAGGTTCAAGTTCTCTTTATTTTCATCCTTACTCCTTAAACCCAACTAGACCTTGTCCTATTCAGGTTCAAGGTTTCTTTATCTTACTCTTCATCCTTAATCATTAAACCCAACTATAGTCCAGTCATATTCAAATTCATATTATAGGTTTAAGTTTGCTTCTCTAAAGCAGTAAAGTTTTAATATTTAAACTTTCTTTGTTTTGTATTACTTGAAGGGAATAATTAAAATGTAAAATAAAACTTTTTTAATATTTCTTCAAAGCTAAATTTTCCAAGTCCGTGTTCTCGGATATCTCATAATCCCAGCTTAAGCCTAGGGATGGGAAAAGCTCCGTTAACGAGGTGGGGGGGGGGGGATATGATTTGTTAAAATTAGTTAACAAACACAAAACCGAAAGTTATAAAACCGAATGAATACTTATTTTGAAATAATAGACAATTTAGTTAACTTTTTTCTTTCCTAAACATGACGTAAAAGGAACGCTATCTTGCTTGAACAATGTTTAATTCTTGTAAGCTCTGAATTAAATCTGAAGCAAAAAATATTAAAGTCACATTGCAGTAGAGAACCCACAAATGAAAATAAACAGTTTTCCAAAACAAAACATGGGTTTGTAGAATGATAAGACCGGACAAAGCTTTCTAGGGTACATGTGCCCTTATCCACTTAACCCTAGAGTAATTTGAAAATGAAGTGGAATGAATACTCAAGTATAAGGGACCGGTCAAGGAAACGTACTTTTACAATTATTTTAAACAAAAGCAGAAAGTATTAAAAATGCTTGTTTTGGACTAATTTAAAATTCAGGAAAAAGTTGTGAAATTATATTCAGCAATCTATATATACTTTGCTTGTCTGTCTGTCTGTCCATTTATGGATGATCGAATTTTTAAAAACTTGACGCTAACAAAATTCAATTTTTGAAAATTTAAAAAATCCACGAAATTTTTTGTGGGACCTCGCGTGACTCTAGGGAAGGTTTATGGATGATCAAAATTTTAAAATTTAGCCACCAACAAAATTCGACTTCCAAAAAATTCCATTAAATTTTAAATATCCACGATTTTTCTTTAAAAATCTGCAAACTTATTTGTTTTTGATTTACAATGTATACAAAGAAAAAATGTTCACAATTAAAATAGAAGATGGGCGCGAAGCGCCCTCAGAGCATAGTATAATATATATACTGATATAAATGAAATATAATTACTATAATACTGAACTTTTACTTCAACTATATTTTCCGGCCATTTATTTTAAAGGTACTGTTAGCGAAATATCAAGTGAGCCTCCAGGCAAATATGGCAATTGATCGATTCACAATAGTACCCTTGAAAGCTTTGTCTTAACAAGTATGAATTGGATTTCAATGTTTGCAGAGCTGGGAACTTTAGAATGGTGGATATCGGGATTATTGCTGGATCCTCTCTTTTTCTTAATCTCCAGATTAAATTTTACTTGATGTCCTCATGAATGTAATCTCCAGATTAATTAACAGATCGGGATTAAGGGTTGCACATTCTAAAGTTTTCAGCTCAGTTTTGAAAACTATTTATTTCTATTGGTGGTTTCTCTTCAAAAGTGACTTGCGCATTTCTACTACAGGAAAACATATAGTAGTTACCAGAATATATAAGTTTAAGGCCTAGAAACCGACAAGTCTTTAACTTTATTGATCAGATAAAGGCTTTAATTGTACCGTTGTGTATCGGTTATTGCCATCTTTGGATGGAGGTTCACTTGAAGTTACACGCACACTCCCTTTAATGAAACTGTTTAAGCATACACGTACAGTCCCTTTAATGAAACTGTTTAAACATACACGTACAGTCCCTTTAATGAAACTGTTTAAACATACACGTACAGTCCCTTTAATGAAACTGTTTAAACATACACGCACAGTCCCTTTAATGAAACTGTTTAAACATACACGTACAGTCCCTTTAATAAAACTGTTCAACCTAGGAAAAATTTCATTATTATTTTCAGCAAGTTCCCCAGATTAGATACGCGACTCCGGAGCGTTTACTACAGCGTTTAACTGATCTCAGGTAAATTTATTTAAGTTATTATAAATTGATTTGTCTGCTCATATCAAGCCAAATTGTATGCAAGATTGAAATCTAATATGTTTTAAATCATAACTCATCTTATTGCTTTTTAATACTGTTGCATAAAATCAAAGCTCGAGGAGCTACGAGGTCACACAGTCCAGTTAATGCCTCAGAAGGAACCCATGGCCGGGAAGGATTATATCCGGTCGATATTATGAGTTTGCGTTTAATAAATGTAAATGAATTTTTGCGTAAAAACTGTATTTTCTGATTTAATATTTAGCTCCAAACTCTATTTTTAAGTTTTAACATTTTTCATCTATTTGAAAACACGACAACAATTGAAATTATTCGCTTTAAAATTGCCTCAGATTCACACTTCCAAAAATTGTTAGATCAGTTTATTCTCAAATAGATTAACAGTCCCTTTAAAGTTAGTAAGGGTTGATGTATCTAGTTGACGGTTTACTTACGTAACTAATCTAACCTTCAAGTTTCTAATCTTGTCAAATTCAAGTTCGAAAACAACCTATCACAGGGGGAGCATCCAACATTATTGCATCACAGGGGGAAACAACCAACATTATTGCATCACAGGGGTAATAACAACCAACAGTAGTGCATCACAGGGGGAATTACCAACATTATTGCATCAAAGGGTTAATAACAACCAACATTAGTGGATCACAGGGGGAAACAACCAACATTAGTGCATCACAGGGGCAACAACGAACATCATTGCATCAAAGGGTTAATAACAACCAACATTAGTGCATCACAGAGGTAATAACAACCAACATTAGTGCATCACAGGGGCAACAACCAACATTAGTGCATCACAGAAGCAACAACCAATATTAGTGCATCACAGGGGGCAACTACCAACCTTAGTGCATCACAGGGGGAAACAACCAGCATTAGTGCATTACAGGGGTAATTACAACCAACATTAGTGAATCACAGGGGTAATAACAACCAACATTAGTGCATCACAGGGGCAACAACCAACATTAGTGCATCACAGGGGCAACAACCAACATTAGTGCATCACAGGGGTAATAACAACCAACATTATTGCATCACAGGGGTAATAAAAACCAACATTAGTGCATCACAGGGGAAACAGTCAATATTTGTGCATCACAGGGGCAACAACCAACATTAGTGCATCAAAGGAGTAATAACCAACATTTGTGCATCACAGGGGTAATAACAACCAACATTAGTGCATCACAGGGGCAACAACCAACATTAGTGTATCACAAGGGCAACAGCCAACATTAGTGCATCATAGGGGCAACAACCAACATTAGTGCATCACAGGGGCAACAACGAACATTATTGCATCACAGGGTTAATAACAACCAACATTAGTGCATCACAGGGGAAATAACAACCAACATTAGTGCATCACAGGGGCAACAACAAACATTAGTGCATCACACAGGCAACAACCAACATTATTGCATCACAGGGTTAATAACAACCAACATTAGTGCATCACAGGGGCAACAACCAACCTTAGTGCATCACAGGGGGAAACAACCAGCATTAGTGCATCACAGGGGTAATAACAACCAACATTAGTGCATCACAGGGGCAACAACCAACATTAGTGTATCACAGGGGCAACAACCAACATTAGTGCATCACAGGGGCAACAACCAATATTAGTGCATCACAGGGAAAATAACAACCAACATTATTGCATCACAGGGGTAATAACAACCAACAGTAGTGCATCACAGGCGAAACAACCAACATTAGTGCATCACAGGGGCAACAATCAACATTTGTGCATCATAGGGGTAATAACCACCATTAGTGCATGACAGGGGTAATAACAACCAACATTAGTGCATCACAGGGGCAACAACCATTATTAGTGTATCACAAGGGCAACAACCAACCTTAGTGCATCAAAGGGGCAACAACCAACATTAGTGCATCACAGGGGCAACAACCAACATTAGTGCATCAAAGGGGCAACAACCAACATTAGTGCATTACAAGGGCAACAACCAACATTAGTGCATCACAGGGGCAACAACCAACATATTGAATCATAGGGGCAACCATCCAACATTTGTGCATCACAGGGCCACCCCCTATTACAGCATCAGAGGGGAAACAACCACCATTAGTACATCACAGGGGCAACAACCAACATTAGTGCATCACAGGGGCAACAACCAACATTAGTGCATCACAGGGTTAATAACAACCAACATTAGTGCATCACTGGGGCAACAACCAACATTAGTGCATCACAGCGGCAACAACCAACATTAGTGCATAATTAGTGCATTCTTGAATACATTTCTTCTAACCTATTCATTTATATATTCTAGGTTCCTATCTATAGATTTTTATATATATTTATAATGTATAAAATCAGCGGTAATGTGTGAAAATGTTTTATAAAAGAAAAGGAAAGTTTTTAACTTATTAAAACTGAAATCTGAGATCATCATCGATCACGATCGTATATATAAGTATACATAGGTTCCAGTTTGGGAAAAAATTGTTTAATCGTAAAATTTGAAATATGTAAACAATTGTTTTTGTAAAAATCCGCCAAAGCTGGAACCTTTTTCTGGGTTTTGGCTTGTTTGGCATAATACAATTATTCTAAGGTTAAGTTTTGTTTTGATTTAAACGTAAAATTTTCTTTTCTCCTAATTATGCTTAAAATCAAAACTGGAGTTGCTACGATGTCACAAAGTTGTGCGTTATGTCGCCTAAATTTAACCATCTACTTCACCTTTTGTTTACTTTGCCTAGGCTAAAGTTAGTTATAAGCCGTCATTGGGAAAAAATTGACCTTAAATTGTGTTGTGTTTTTTTTTTCATTTAATCATAGAAAAATGGTTGACGATGATAAGTTTTTATTTAGGTTTTGGAAGCATTAAAGAAGGTTTTCTTTAATCAGATTAGTCCAAGTAGTTCATGCGGGTAGGTTCATCTTAGTTTTAGATTAAATTAGTATATAATTATTAATTTGAACCCTTATATATACTATATAGCCATAGTTTGTACCCTTATATACCCTCAGTTTGTATCATTATACATTCTTAGTTTGTAACATTAAATACTCTTATTTTATATCATTATATACCCTTAGTTTGTTCCCTTATATACCCTTAGTTTGTTCCCTTATATGCCTGTAGTTTTTATCATTAAATACCCTTAGTTTGTAACCTCATATACCCTTTCATTAAATACCCTTAGTTTGTAACCTCATATACCCTTAGTTTGTTCCCTTACATACCCTTAGTTTATACCCTTATACACCCTTAGTTTGTTCCCTTATATATCATTACTTTGTACTCTTATATACCCTAAGTTTGTACCCATTACACCCAATAGTTTGTTCCCTTACATTTTACATGATATATTTATATAAAAATTGATATAATGTAAACCTACGATATACATATTTAATATGAAGGAATAAAAAATATATAAAAATGAAATAGTTATGGATTCTTCAAAAGTTTGCATTAGAAGAATGTTCCAAAATTATTTTCATGTTTTATAAGTTTTTCTTCTTAGACTTTTAGACCACATGTATCAATATTAAGTAGGAAAAAGAAAAGTTGAAAAATAAACAAGGTTTAATGGGTTTCTTGTGTTTTATACATATGATTCCATCTTTTCTTTTTACAGAGTTTTCTAAAACATATATTTTAAATAACTTACTGAGTTTTCTTACCCATGATTTTAAATTACTTACTGAGTTTTCTAACCCATGTATCTACATAACTTACTGAGTTTTCTAAACCATGATTTTACATTAACTTACTGAGTGTTCTAAACCATGATTTTACATAACTTACTGAGTGTTCTAAGCCATGATTTTACACTACTTACTGAGTTGTCTAGCCACTATGCATATCCTGTATATCCAATATCCTTGGTATATGGTGGACTATGTATATCCTGTACATCCAATATCATTGGTATATGGTTGACTATGTATATCCTTTAACTCCAAAATCCTTGGTATATGGTGGACTTTGTATATTCTGTATATCCAGAGCTTACATAACTTACTGAGTTTTCTAACCCATGATTTTACATAACTTACTGAGTTTTCTAAACCATGATTTTACTAAACTTACTGAGTTTTCTAAACCATGATTTTACATAACTTACTGCGTGTTCTAAACCATGATTTTACATAACTTACTGAGATTTCTAAACCATGATTTTACATAACTTACTGAGTTTTCTAAACCATGATTTTACATAACTTACTGAGTTTTCTAAACCATGATTTTACACTACTTACTGAGTTTTCTAAACCATGATTTTACATATCTTACATAATTTTCTAACCCTTGTGTTTCTCATAATTTACATAGTTTTCTAAACCGTGTATTTTACATAACTTACAGAGTTTTCTAACACATGTGTTTTACAACTCACATGTTTTACATAAATTACATTGTTTTCAGAACCATTTATTTTACATAAATTACATAGTTTTCTAAACTATAAATTTTACATATCTTACAGAGTTTTCTAACCCACGTATTTTAGAGAGTTTTTTAAATACATACACATAGCTAGAGAGATTTTTAAAATATACATAACACAGATAAATATTAAGGTCATCTGAGTTTTCCAGCCAAAATACAGCTACAGTAGAGTTTTATATATCAGTGAAAAAATACAACTTTTTAAAGAAAATAGCTAAAGAGTTTTAAAAATGTAAATACGCATTATATTGTATTAATTTATACCAAGCAGCTTAGAAGTTTTCTTTACGAAAATGCATATATAAGTTATTATCGTCAAAAATGTAGATGTATACAATAGAAAAATACATTTAGATTAAGAGTTTTTCTAATTGTATACATAATACAACTGAGAGTTATTAAACCCATGAAAATAATTAAGAATACACAACATATGTTTAAATTATTATTTATATTATTTTTTATTGTATTGCCTTTAACCGTTATGCCTGAACAGTGTATATTGTATAGTATATATTATACATATACACTGGATAATAAAGTATTGTATATTGTATAGTGTATATTATACATATACACTGGATAATAAAGTATAAGGTTCAGGTTTATGAATAAAAGTTTAATCTCTAGTTCTCTGAAGAATACACAAAGAGAAAGAAGGATAGGAAGTATCCTATCCATACCTGTAAACCTGTATACCTGTATACCTGTATACCTGTATACCTGTATACCTGTATACCTGTATCCTTGTTCCCTTGTATACCTGTATACCTATACTGTATCCCCGTATTTATATCTCTACCTGTATTATGTATACTCTGTAGTTCCCTGGAGAATATAGCTAGAGAAGAGCATGGATCCCATCCCTCCAGCTCCTTGAACCCTAATGATGCGGAGAAAAGAAGGATTAGTTCCTGCTCCGGGTACAGTACTGGACCAGGCAAGTATTCTAGATCTATTACACAGACTCAAGATGTAAATTATAGATTGGTTTTTCCGATTCACAACGATCCCTTTAAACCTTTTATAAACCACAATTGAAAATCATCAATTTTTAGCCTGGAAAAAACTAGAATATCTCATTCATCCATGATTTATCTAAGGTTTAAAGGTTACTGTTGTGAAATCTAAGCTTGAGTCTATAAGTCGTCTTCCTTTTCCCCTATTTGATGGGGTTCTTTATATATTTCCCCCGTGAGAATAATAAACCTTGACAGAAGGAAGAAACAGGGCTTTTCTAGAAATACCCCCCCCCCCCCCCCGCGGGATGATTTTAACATCAAAATTCAAGTTTCTTTTTTTAACTTTTTACCCTTAATTCATTTATTTTTCCCTAAAAATCATCTATTCTGCCCAGTTCAGTGAAAGAAATCCTAAAAAATGCAAAGATAACGTTTGGGAGAAAAAATAATTTTCAAAAAGGTGAATAATTTTTCCAGAAAATATACACCCCTGGGAAGAAACCAGATTAGGATTTATTGAAAGGAGAGTTTTCTAAAATCCTTTCTCCTGACAATCACATTGAACCTTGTTAAATATAAGAGGATTGTCTAAACCTATAAACTTTAGATATAATATTTACAATTTAGAGAAAAAGATATAGTTTTGGTAAGGATTAAATATTTACAATTTAGAGGAAAAGATATAGTTTTGGTAAGGAATTACAATTTACAATTTAGAGGAAAAGATATAGTTTTGGTAAGGAATAAATATTTACAATTTAAAGGAAAAGATATAGTTTTGGTAAGGAATAAATATTTACAATTTAGAGGAAAAGGTATAGTTTTGGTAAGGAATAATTATTTACAATTTAGAGGAAAAGATATAGTTTTGGTAAGCAATTAAAATTTACAATTTTCGCATATTTGAATTAAAAATTCATTTTTGAGATCTATCATTTTGTCACAAACATTCATGACAGTGCAAATAGTATGAAAAATCGTTGTCTTAACTCCTTCTAATCTTTGCAACTTTTGATACTTGAAACTTATATTATATTAGTGGTCTAACAGAATTCATCTAAAGTCCACACATTGGGTGGCAAAGATATAGGGATTAGAAAGACAGAATTTGTGACAAACACTCAATTCCTTTGCTCTGCCATGTTTAAAAGTCAATTTGTCTAAAACTCATTTGAATAATCCCATGGGAAGCGTAATTTCAAATAACCCCCCATGCAAAGATGGCAATGCCCGATTTACAACGGTATTAGAAAATACAGGATTAAAAACTTTTAAACCTAGAAAAATGACAATTACTTCCACATTATTGATCAGATAAAGGTTTTAATGGTACCTTTGTAAATCGGGCATTGATATCTCTGCATGGATGGTCACTTGAAATAACGTTTACAGTCCCTTTAAGCCTAGAAAGACAAGATCTGAATCTGATGAACGGAGAGGGGTGAATAATCCCAACTCAGGGCTCTTGTGTTTAGATGGGAGTAGGCAGGGAAGCCTAACTCCGAGACGGATTAGTGGAGCAAGCTCTATCTCAGGGTACTACTCGGATGACAGGGAGAGAGGGAGTTTTGACTCCGGAGCTTATAAGTCTCAACATTGGAGATATAGCTTCAGAAGATGTAAGTATCATGTTTTTTCTTCAGATAATAAATAATGGTAGATAGGATCACCCCAATTCTGCAAGAGCCAAAGACACGGCAGAAAAGGAACTGATCGAACTCTAGTCTAAAACTTAATATTCTAATCCTTATACAAGAAACCCATACAAGTGTGGAATACGAAGACGAGTGTTGGACTCATTAATGAGTTTAAAAAGTCCAATTAACATAAAACACTTCAATTGTGCAGTGTCAGATCTGTTTTACTCTTTATTTCCAACAGTTATATGGGTCTCAATGTATATTCGACGCCTGTCATTTCAAGCAATGAATTAATTCTGCCAGGTTTAATAACTAATTTTGAAACAGCACAACCATCCAATGGGGTTAAATAAATAAGTTACAATTTACAGCTAAGAAGCAAATTAATATATACTTTCCACATTTATCTAATCCCTTTATTTTAGTAATCTTTTAGTATAAACATATTCAATATTTCAAACTATTTGATACAGCAGAATTCATGAAGAGAAATATCAAATATCTAAGACATGATATAGGGATGACTGAAGTGTTCTGTTATGGATACGAACAAAGCAAAAAACATTTTTCACTTTAGACTTATTGCACAAACAATATACAATAAAATCGCTTAACATTTCCGTGGTTCTATAGAATTAACCAATGTATGGGTTCATGAGTTATGACATACACACAAAAGCAGATAACTTCTTTATATCTTTATATATATATATATACTTTGCTTGTCTGTCTTGGTGTTTGTCTGTCTGTCCATTTGTATCCAATAAACGTCAAAACGGCTGATCCGATCGGACCCAATTTTTTTGTGGGACCTCGCGTGACCCCTAGAAGATTTATGTATTATCCAATTTTCAAAAATTTGCCTCCATCAAAATTCTATTTTTGAAAATGTTAAAAATCTACGAAATTTTTTTTATAAAATCCGCGAAACTGTTTGTGGGTTTTTGTTTTACAATGTACACAAAAACAACATGTTCACAATAGAAATGGGAAATGGGCGCGAAACGCCCTAATGACCTAGTCTATGTATATACTTTGCTTGTTTGTCTGTTTGTTTGTATTAAATGAACGTCAAAACGGCTGAACCAATTAAGCCGAAATCGTGTGTGGGACATCAAGTGAGCGTACAAAATTTGGGTGTGTTTGTCTATTTAGGTATTCAGGTAATTAGGGATTCAAACAGCGATGCGAATTGAACCCTGTAAAAAAGGTTTACGTGATCTTTGTAAACACTTTTATCCAACTAAAATGTTGGTGTCACCCTGGGATGGAAGAAACTGGACAATTCGTCAAAATATCTGCTGTTCCCAAAACAACATTGTTTATCTAATTTACTGCGGTCATTCAGACCACAAAGATTCTAGTTGGTATGTAGGATCAGCAGTAGATGTGAAGAAAAAATGGAGGAACCACAGGTCGGATTTTATTAATATAAAAAGTACCAAATCTGGCCTTGCTCAACATGCTGCCCTTCAACACCCTATGGTAGAAAAGTTTAAGCTAATACCTTTTCTAAAAGTAATTTTTCTTGAAAGTGTACAAAAAGAAGGAAAGCTTCTAAGTAGAGAACTGTGGTGGCAGTACAGTTATGGTACACTCCAGGTTGGACTTAATAAAAGAAAAGATACAAGAGTAGTGAGCCTTCAAACCAGCCGACATATATGTTAACTATAAAATTGTAAAATTATTAGATTATATAATATTTTGTTATGTTGTTTGTTGTGTTTCTTAGTCTAGTAGTTTTTTTCTACTTTTCGTTTTCCTCAATATATGATGGAAGAAGCCGGATTTACTTCCTAATCTTGATTCGATCATTTAATTTTTTTACANCCCAACCCTAGATCTGACCACCACCATTCATAAAACTCAAACTTTTACTCAGTTAATCTTTTATCTATTATCTATTAATCAAGTTTCTTAATTTGTATGTTTTTTAGACTATGCCCTAAAGATGGTTGAATAAACCGAAAATTTGGCAAAAAGCGTTTTTGTTTCACGGATCTCAGATCGAGTGTTAGATTTAGAAGAATTGTAGATAGATAGATAGATAGATAGATCAATTAACAGATAGATCAATAAATAGATAGATCAATTAATAGATAAATCAATTAATAGATGGAAAGATATAAAGACAGACAGTTTCTTTCATCAAATATAATTTAAAAATTAAAATTAAGTTTATCTTAACCCCACATCCCTCATATTATTCTTAAAAAAAGTTTTTAATTAATCTAATGATGTAATTAACTTTCAAGATATTCAAGATTGTATATGTATTATGTAGTTTATTCATTTATAAAAATTAAAAATAGTTAAAAATAAACTGTTTAAGGCGAAATATTTTCAAACGTGTATCCATGCTGTTAAAAGATTGATATAATGAAATTCAAATCTAAAGCCGTCACCATTGTTTTTATATTTCCGATAATAATACTGTTTTTTTTTTCGATAAAATCCTCAAAAAATCTTGCCTAATTCATATCTGAGGGGCATGCACATGAGATTGTTGAAGAGAGGGATTGAATAAAATGAATTTTTAAACAAAAAATGTACCCAAGGGTTATCAGAATTTAAAGAATATGATGTTGAGTCAATGTGAAACAAGATATTATTAAATAAATTATATAATTTATATATTTGGCATCAGGATATTAGAAACCAACAGAGGGATTATATCCATTTGTTCGATCAAAGCATAATTCAACCATTTACAATTTCTTACATTTATAAACAGCGGGACCCTAACACTGTGGTATTAACAGGAAGACGAAATTTGAGCAAAGAAATGAGTTTTTGTCACAAAACATGTAATTGATAATATTATTATAAGTCCGTATTACGTTAGCATAACTTCCACCAATGGCAGTGCAGTATACTGGTCACTTGATACAGACAGAGACACGTGACCACTATACTCACTGTGATTTAATGGTCTCAGGCTCTCAAGCAAAAATCGTTGAGAATTATGCCAATTACTTCTGAAAATTTTAAGCTAACAACAAGAGCTTGCCAGTGCTAAAATGTACATGTAAAGGGCTACAGAAAAGCATAAGTGAGTTAGAGCGGTAAAATCTAAGCTTAGGGCGTCAAGACACTTCAAAGTCAACCCTGTCTTGAAAATTGATAAGACTGTTTATAAGCAGGCTGAATCTATGTGATACTGCACTACTATTGGTGGGAGTTCTGGTGACGTAAGACCGACTTACAAAAATATTATTAATTATCTATTAAAAACATAAATAAAATTATAAAATTATAATTGGAGCAAACCATGAGGCAATTATTAGCTTCCTCTGGGATACCTTCGTTTTCAGATTCATTGTGTATTTGATGAATATACCTATTTCCATACAAAATTTTATATGAGTTTTTGTAAATATTTGACAAAGTTTTATATCAATTTCTCGAGACAGAAATATCAGATATAACTTTCATGGGCCGCTATCAAGAGCTAAAGTGACTAGCTTTCACCCTTTACCCCCTTACATTTTTCCTTTACAGTCCCTTTAAGTAATGGAGAGAAAAATCTGTAAAATGACTGATTATAGAGGCGAGTTTAGGGTTTTGTGACGTCATTTACGGATTTCCTATACAGTACACAATGTGCCCCAAGAAATATGACAATGTAGAGACAACCATTGTATATTTTTTGTAGCTAAAAACAATTGAACTTATTCGGACAAACTAATGATTAAGAGTTAATGGGGATTACTAAAATAAGGACGAACAGTGAGGACCAACATTGACCTTTATATATATACTTACATACATATTCATATCTACATACACCTATTTATATAGAGAGAATCAGAAAACTCTGAAATACTAAGACGACTTTTAAACTCAAGTTGGAAAAGTTCATGAACAGGACACAAGTCAATTATCCGGTGTAAACAGACTTAAGAAGTGATTAAATACGTTACTGGTAAAAATATTCATTACATCAAAAACAATTAAGTATTACTTTAATGTCGTCTTCCTATTCCACAGTTTTCTGATTCTCAGTGTACGTATCAGCTTTATATAATAGGATAAGACACTATTTTGAGTTTTCTATTTGTCATGCTCAATAGTGGACAATCAGAAGCACATACAGTGAAACCCATAATAACGAATGCATCGAAAGAGTTCATCAAATGTCGTATTCTTCACTTTCGGATAATGGAATGTTGCAGATATTTAGTTTCTTAATAAAATGATTATATGGAACTCTTTAAAACTGTTCCCGCATATTCATGGCTATTTATTTATTTTCGCAAATACTGAAATTTAAACGTAATATAGTATAAAACTCATTGAAAATTTGTCAAGACGACATTTGATAAATTCTTCCGATGTATTCGTTATTAAGGGTTTCACTGTAGTTACACAATACCCAGTGCACATGCTTTAGGTAAATTACTTAACTAACGAAGTTACGAAGGTAATTCCGCATAAAATTGACGTTCCTGATGTTTTAATTGAAGTATTACAACTCTAAGTTTACATATATTTTGTATGTTTCTATCTAGATAAAGTAGTAATCTCAGTTTATTTGTTTGTCTTTTTGTCTGTTTGTTTAGATGTCCTATCATAACTCATGAACCATTGAATGATTTGCCCCTAGTTTCGGTTTGGGAATTCTGAAGAACCACGGGAATGTTCTAAAGCTAAGTTCACAAGCTAGTATACAATAATCATAACAATTTTTCTCATTCTTGTCACGGTACATTCCAGTTCATTTCATGCACAAGGATGAATTTCAACTACCCAGGGCAAGCAGTACAGTACACATACAGACTATAGGAGGCTAAACGGGACTGTACGCCGTATAAATGACCCCCTTCTAGTGAAAGAATGTATTGTGATCCAGTAAAAAAATGAGCACTATCACTGAAGAAATTGCTGTATACACCCCCATTTCATATTTTTGATCCTTAGATGAAGAGGAGCAACGAGACAGTAGGGAAGGACGTGAAGGACGTGAGGGACGTGAGGGACGTGAAGGACGTGATACAGACGGAAGATCTTCTCTCCGGGTGTCAATATCTAGTGCTAGCGGAGCTGGCCAATGGAGGAAGGAGAGCGTTACTATCATAGAGAGTCAGGAACCTATGGAGGAGGTAATCGTCAAGTGATCATTAATATACAGGGATATCCACAAAGAAAGAAACTTTTAAGAAGATTGTGCGGAAGTGTTCCACTCTTATTACTTATATTCATAGAGCCCTGCAGCTGTACACTGTACACTTATTTATTTATTTGAGAAATCATTAATATTCCATTTTAGACTACATTAAGGTCTGAGCAGCGCTTAAACTGCTATATAATTTGTTTGTAAACAGATCCTATATGTTCCTATAGTATATTCCTTGCGCAATGCCAATACAAAGCAATATGTAAGTCGTCTTTGTTAATTCTTATTGAAAACCTAATATTTGTAACTTCAAATGGTTTTAATGAAATATTTAAAAAAAATATTAATTTTCGGGAATTAAGATGACAAAATGCAATTCTACAGCTACGGCTGTGTTTGTCGTATAAATGTTTACAAAATTAGGTTTTTTTTCAAAATTTTTCTTGAAATCAAAATAGAATTTTTTGAAGGATAAAACTTACTTTAAAAAAAATAGAGAATGGTTGGGACTTGATAATGGTTTTCATTCGATTTTAAACATCAAATATTTGGGTTAGAGGTTAAGAGATTTTTGTGAAATTTCTCAAGTGAATAAATTTAAAAGTTTAAAAAATAGCCGAAAATGATGGCCATCTCTATTCAGGAGGAATTAGAAACAGAAGAGAGAAATACACTAAACCTCAGACCTACACTAGACGCTGTCAGGTAGTAATTAATAATTTTAATAAAACTATTGTCATTATTTCTTTAAAATTTTCATAATTTAGAATTTACTTTTCTTGAAAATCTGTGAACTGGACAGAAAAAGACAGAAAAAGACAGAAAAAGACAGAAAAATACAGAAAAAGACAGAAAAAGACAGAAAAAGACAGAAACAGATAGATAAGACAGAAAAAGACAGAAAAAGACCACCTGTGTCAATTGTCAATCTAAGAGAGAAGCCTAACCCATGATATTTTAATCATTTGGGAAAATGTAACTTTTGTTATTTATTTTATTTATCATTGTAAGAATAAGAATATTAATAATAACAAAAACCCAACAAAAATAAAAATAAAAATAATAATAATGATAATAATGATATTTAGAAGATTATCTAGCAGTGTTGACAGCCCTGAAGTAAACCTGTTATGTGTCCCGGTCCAACCAATGACCGCCAGCTCGTCTGCTGAGACCCTGACTGACAACACGCTGACCGCTCCGAGCACTCCAACAATGATGACTCAGAGACTGGTCGTTCAGGACTCTATAGAGAAGGATCAGGATAAACTACTGGTCAGTTTTAAATATTTCTGGAATCCTTGAAATCATACAGGGTGTCACACATCATATAGATCGTTAACTTGTCAAAATTACGATTTTCAGGACTAATCAAATAATTAAAGAAGAATCATTTTGAAAAATTGAATAATGCTAATATAAGAATTTTCTTGCGGAAAACGCTAGATTTTTGAGTATTATGGGTTTATTTTGGCGTTAAAACTTGGAGATCTAATATGATATGGGACGCTCTGTATAATACAGTCATATCCAGTATAACAGGGTTGGCCACAAGGGATGAGAATTTACATGACGACCAAAGTATCTGTGAAGTATGCTAAAGTTTTACTTCGTTAATCTGCAGTTTCAATAAAACTTCACTTTTATATTATTTGTAATATAATCTTCTTGGGAAAAAAAGCTAGAAGTTTAGAGCTGGAGGGAATTTGATTGTAAGATATAAAAGCCAACAGTAATCCCTAAAGTCTCATTCTTTGTGGGTAACCCTTTATGAAACGGAATAAAAGTCGTCTTTAATTGATAATAAAGATTTCGTACAACAGTCAAGCATTGATTATTTTCTCTATTTATCCCCTTTATATACAATATTTAATGTACTTGTTTAGAGTACTCCGACTCCCCCCCCCCCCTATTCTACTCCTAAAATCTATATTATATATGTTTAGAGTACTCCGACTTTCCCCTCCTATTCTACTCCTAAAATCTATATAATATATGATTAGAGTACTCCTACCCACTCCTCTACTCCTAAAATCTATGCAATATATGTTTAGAGTACTCCAACTCCCCCCCCCCCCCATTCTACTCCTAAAATCTATATTATATATGTTTATCGAGTACTCCTACCCAGTCCTCTACTTCTAAAATCTAAATTGTATATGTTTAGAGTACTCCTACCAACTCCTCTTCTCCTAAAATCTATACTGTATATGTTCAGAGTACTCCTATCCACTCCTCTACTCCTAAAATCTAAATTGTATATGTTTAGAGTACTCCTACCCACTCCTCTACTCATAAAATCTATAATGTACATGTTTAGAGTACTCCTACCCACTCCTCTACTCCTAAAATCAAGCCGAATATAAGTTTACCTGAAACTCCCAACTCTATTCTCAAGGATAAGGTAAATTTAGAAAATACACATTTAATTTTATGGAACTTATAACTAGAGCTGGGCACGCTTTGAGTTCGTTCATCGTTCGTGTACGAACCATTTCGTTCGTTTTTTTCAATCGTTACATCGTTCTTTTTTTAGTGAACGACCGTTCAGTATGATCGTTCATTGAATAAAAGTTTTTAAAAAGTTTGTTTGAAAAAATCGTTCTGGTTCAGTAAAAAAACTTTCGTTTTTAAAAAGTTTGTTCCAAATATCGTTGGTTTTTTTTCGGTTTTGTTTTTGTAAACGATCGTTCATTCATTTTTCTGAACGATCCAAGTTGTTCGTCCATCGTTCGTTTTTTCTTCTAAACGACACCATCGTTCACGAAAAATTTCGTTCGTTTACGAAAACGATGCCAACCTGTTAATTAAGTCCTACTTAGGAAGGACATATAATGTTGGAAATCATTTAGGACACAATAATATATGAGAACTAGCTATTGAGACGTCACATTGAAATTATAAATTTTATTTTTTTTATTTCTTGGGATTTTTGATATTTTTGATATTTTTGATATTTTTGATATTTTTGATATTTTTGATATCATTATTTAACTCTTTTTCATTTTTATTTCTCTCCGATCAAAATAAATGCAAACTTACTCTTACCCTCTTCTCCCATTTTTGTAAATATAAACAAAATATTTACAAAATATTGAATATAAAAATAGCAAACCAAACATGATCAAATACATAATAGTTGTTTAAAGGGACAATATAACCGTATTTTGAATTTCATGTGACCCTCAATGCAAAACCTGATTTACAACGGTACTCTTGAAACCTTTATCTGATAAATAATGTTGAAGATATTGTCGTTTTTCTAGGGTTAAACGTGTTAATTTATAATAATTCTTTCCTGTGCTAAATGCGCAATTAACTTTTGTAGAAAAACCTCATTTAAAAATAGTTTTCTTCAGTTTATAAACATTATCAAATAATTCATCTTTGATTATACAAAGCTATTATGATCGTACCGATATAAATCGGGCATTGCAATCTTTGAATGTTGGTTCTCTTAAAATTATGCTTTTTGCTTAACTTCAAACCCTAAAACTAAACCCTGTGGTTTCCTTTTCAAAAATATTGTATTTCCAGAAAAACAAGAGCCCTGGAAATTCTAGAAAATCTTCTGAAGTTTTGTTTGAAAGAATAGCTCACAATTTCTCAGGTTTGTCTAAATTCTTTTATTTTTATTCTTGATCCCTGTTTATTTTTAAAAATTCTATTGTCTACGACATTAAGGGTTGCACAGATATAGTAATTGGTAAACTAGAGTTTGAGGCGGAGACTCAATTCCCCAGAAGAGAAAAAAATGTACAGACGATCTCCTTTAAGATGTGCCCCCCTCAACCCTCTCCAACATTCGTTATATCAAAAATTGGATTAGACAATCAGGTTTGCGGCGAAGACTCAATATCTCAGCAGAAAATAAAATTTACGAATGATCTCCTTTTATATGTGCACCCCCCCCCCCCCACTTCCCACACTTGTTATATTTAAAATTGCATCTTTCTCCCTCTAGATCCTTTATCCCGTCGGAGAGCTGAGAGTTGTACAGGAGGAGGGTCATCTTACAGTTCAAACTTTACCTATAATATGGACGAGGAAGATGCAGACCATATGGCATACCTGGAGTCTAGGGTCTCCAGGAGCCAACCTGGCTCTCAGCATGCTTCATTCTCAGGTATACTATCCCAGCATGCTTCATTCTTAGGTATACTAGATCCCAGCATGCTTCGATTCAGGTATACTATCCCAGCATGCTTCATTCTCAGCTATACTATCCTATCATGCTTCATTCTCAGGTATGCTATCCCAGCATGCTTCATTCTTAGGTATACTAGACCTCAGCATGCTTCATTTTCAGGTATGCTATCCCAGCATGCTTCATTCTCACTTATACTATCCCAGCCTGCTTCATTCTCAGGTATAACATCCTTGCATGCAGTATTCTTAGGGATACTATCCTAGCATGATTCATTCTCAGGTGCACCATCCAAGTATGCTTCATTATCAGGTATACTATCTCAGCCTGCTTCATTCTCAGGTATACCATCCCAGCATGCCGCATTATCAGGTATACTATCCTAGCATGCTTCATTCTCAGGTATACTATCTCAGCATGCTTCATTCTCAGGTATACCATCCTACTATGCAGCATTCTCAGGTATACTATCTTAGCATGCTTCATTCTCATTTATACCATCCCAACATGCAACATTCTCAGTTATACCAACCTAGCATGCTTCATTCCAGGTATACCATCCAAACATGCTTTCTTCTAATATATACCATGCTATGCTATGCAGTATTCTCTGGTATTCCATCCTGCCTGGAGTGTGCTGCATTTTTTTTGTCTACCATTCAACCTGGAGCATGCTGCTCTCTTAGGTTTACAAATACCAGTTTTATATTTTTAACTATACGGAAGGTTTTAGTTTCTTTTTCTCATATTTATGGTTTCGTCTTCATCATTTTTTAAAACATCGTTTATCTTGCTGAAAAAAATGAATTAGAAAGTTTATATTTTCAAACATTTTTAAAATTAGATGATAGTAGACGCAATCATACAGGGTTGTTTTCTGCTCTGCTATTATAGCCTCTGTCTCTGGGAAATCCTCAATGTTCAATTGAAAAAATTAAAACATATTTGTATTTTCCTAGAATTCTATATTTTAGGATCGAAGGGGGGTAGTTTTACTCCTCCCCTACCCAGAGCTCTCTCCAATACGTTTCTCAAGATGTCGAACAGAGATGGTTCAAAGAGTCCAACGGTAAAATTTATTAGTGTTCTAATTAAAGTTAAAACAGTATTGATCCATCAATCAATCAATCATGACATTTAGGGACGCCCTAATCTCACCATGACTATAAACTAAGCTGATATTGAAATAGGGTTTCACAATTTGCAAATGAAGCTATTAAGTGAGAATAGTATTGATATGGTACAAGAGAGAAGATTTTAAAAATATAATTGCTCTAAATTTTCAGAATTGTAACTTTGATAAATTCACAATTTTATCTTTCAATCCTTAATAATATTAAGAAATTGACTTTATATTTACTACAGTATGTAGTTAAAAAAAACTGTTCGAGGGAGTTCTCACGATAAGTGTTTAGAAATTTAGATTTCTTTCTAGAACACGCAATTTAAAACTTTAATGATTCAGAATGAGAAGAAGAAGAAAGGATTTCTCCAGCGACATCTACCTGGTTCAGCAGACAATGAAAAAGATCCTAAAACCAGTTCACCGCTGTCTAGTCCACAGGTAAACAGCTAAAGACATCTACAGGGTTCAGTAGGTATTGAAACCAATTCTCTGCTGCACTGTACCCAGGTAAACAACTAGAGACATCTACCGGGTTCAGTAGGTATTGAAACCAGTTCTCTGCTGCACTGTACCCAGGTAAACAACTAGAGACATCTACCGGGTTCAGTAGGTATTGAAATCAGTTCTCTGCTGTACTGCACTGTACACAGGTAAACAACTAGAGACATCTATCAGGTTTAGCTGACAATGAAAAAGATCCAAAAACCAGTTTACTGCTGTCCATCTAGGGCTGGACAAAGTTCCTTTAACGAACGGCAAAAACCATTAATTCTGAACGATCTTAAAAAACACCCGTTTTTGAAAAAAGTAATAGTTTATAAAAACGAACAAATGTATGTGTTTCAAAATAATAGCGACTTTCGTTCATTTTTTCGACTTACATTAAACTTACAGAAAATTAACAAACACATTATGAATTTTTTTACGTGCTTTGATGTTTTTTTAATGCTGTCTTCATATTTTTCAGGTATTTTTACATGAAATAATCGTTAATGGTACCATTTACAAATACTCTCCGTTGACGCCGTTTATGAAATTGAGATGGAATTAATGCACAGAAATGTTTGAGAAAGAACGAAAAAATTGTGTTGTCGTCTACATTATTCACAAAAAGATTAAATTCTTACGATCGTATTCAAAGAACTGTATAAGCGTAATTTTATCAAGTGCCGACCCTCTTTTCAAAGATATAAATGCCTGATTTACAACGGTAAAACCTTTACCTGATCAATAATGTGAAAGATATTTTCGTTTTTCTAGGTTCACACACATATTTGATTCTAATATTTCTTATATTTCTTCCTTTGTAGAGAAATGACAGTCGAAAATAATTAGTTTTCAATGTTTAGGCATTGATATCTAATTCACACTTGATCAGACAAAGCTTTATAAGATGATAAAATAATCGTTAATAACATTTACAAAATACCTTTCGTCGACGCCATTATTAAAATTGAGATGGTTAATGTGCGTACAGAAACGTTCAAGAAAGAATGAAAAATACCTTAAACGTTTCTTATTTAAAAAACGACCGGTTACTTTAAACAAGTCTGATCGTTTCCAGCCCTATGTTCCATGTCTATAGTCCACAGGTAAAGAGGTTCAGCTGACAATGAAAAAGAAAATAACTTGGAAAATGCATTTTTGTCTTGTTTTGCGGATTTTCGCTAGAATATTTATGTTTTATTCTATTCGAGGAAATGAAACACTACAGTGTTCAACATTATCTTAAATTGCCTGTAATATTTTACATGAAATTAGTTTAGTTTAATGTATAGAATTGTTGAACTGCACAATAGAGTATTCTCTTTAGTACTGTTGGGTTAAAAAGCTTTCTCATATGTTTTTCAGGGGTTCATCTACAGTATTAAGAGACGATTTGAAGATCGTCTTTGGTCTTGGAAATAATTTGCGGTATTCATGCGCGCGTTAACCTAATCTTGCAAGAATAATTCTTGAAACAATTGATCACAAAATATCTATAGTTCTGCAGGCGTTTAGAAAAGTTGCTGGCGATAGGAAGAATTTTGTTCAGATTTCGACAATTTTGGTTTTATTCAATAAATGAAAATATTAACATCATTTTATGTCTGAGGTTAATTTTTAGGCACAAAAATGTTAGACCTCATTTTGGAAGTATCATTTAGAATCCCGGTGCTTAGGATCCGGATCCACGTTAGATCCGCACCATTTTAGTTTCCTTGAATTCCGGATCTGAAAAAATATGCTGATCCACGGATCCGGATCCAAAGGGGGAAATATCAACCAAATCCAAAAATTTTGCACTCTCTGTCATATTTGAGAGAAAGTGTTCACATACAGTGGTAGGCGATAACATCAACATAGTGAAGACGACTTTTTCATTTAGATTTCATTGTTAACAAGCTTTATTTCGAATTACAAGATTACATCAAATTAAATCTAATTAAAGAAAAGCTTATTTAAATAAACAGCTTCTCTTTGTTTCCATCTATTTGTGTATTCATGCTGATTGAAAGCTTGGTAAAAATCAAAATTGAAATCGAAAGTCGTCTTCATTGTATTGGTATTATCGCCTACCACCGTATCTAAAAGAACATAAAATTACTCCACTTTGAGGATTTGAAACACAGCGAAATCAAATTCTGTGAAATCAATGATTATTTTGTCTGTCATGCACAGATATTTCTCGTTTTTTCAAAGATAATGAATGAATATTTCTGATTATACTTTATTTTATAGTTTACACAATTAATGTGCAATTTATATCAATGTCACTCAATGGTACGAAAAGGAATTAAGAATAACCTTGTATTAAAGTATTAAGGATAAAATCAAATTAATATCAGATTATTATGTTGTACAGATAGATACTGAATGGTGCGAAAATGAATTAAGAATAACTTTGTATTAATGTATTAGGGATAAAATCAAATTAATATCAGATTATTATGTTGTACAGATAGATACTCAATGGTACGAAAATGAATTAAGAATAACTGCAGCTCCCCCCAAAAGCCACCATTCCAAATTCTTGCGAGAAATTATAATTTGAATACAAAGAATTCTCCATCTGACAATGCAGGAAATATTCTGAATTTGTTTAATCATCCCCTTGAGGAGATCTTTAGTATTCTTGGATTCCACTTTAATATATTAGATCCCAGAGTACTGGGGGGGCAAGTCATAGATTAATAACAATACAGATAGACCATTAGATGTCGTCTTTGCCAGATTTAGGGGTTTTTCGAGCACAATAACTCTGAGACAGGAGCCCAAAGGAGTTAAGCGCATGCCGCGTTGAATGAGACACAGAGAGAGTATGCGCGTAACTCTATTGGGCTTCTGCCTTAGGTTTGCTGCGAACGAACCCCTCTAAATCTTAAAAAGTGTTCTCTATCAACAAACAAATTTTTTCGTTAACGATGGTGCGTTTATTGAACGAACGATTTCACTGGATGTATGATATAACGAAACGAACGATTTTAATGAGCGATTGTTGAGTAAGAAAACGAACGAAATAGATGGAAAATGAACGATAATTTTGTGAACAACCGAAATAATATTTTTAATGATTGAGATAAAAACAAAGAGGATGGGTCGAGTTCACCAACAATGAACGATCGGAATGAAAAAAAAGTTGAATCAACTTCACAGAGGTTGTAACTTTTGGTTGAAAGTATAACTGAGTTTTGTCAATTGAACTCGATATCTACATTGTAAACTTGAAAATTGAATGCAAAGAGAATGACCCGAATTTAATCCTGAATTTATGTTTTGTAATATTTAAAGAATCTCTTCTAATATATAATTCAACTATTTACGGTTTGAGTATAATTATTTATTTAATAATGATTTAAAAGTAAGCCGGAAAAATATTCTCATTTTAACTCTCTGATATAAATTCTCAAAAAGTAAACCTTTATGATCGGTTCCAGCAACTTCTAGGGGATAAATATCTCCTGAGAGCAGGGCAAGGCCTAAAATTATCATGAAATTCTGTGACAAATTGAAGTCATTTTCGAATTTCCTTAAAAATATTTTAACCTTTTGTTAAAACATTATAGAAATAGAATATTACCAACATTCAAATCATATCCTGTTTTCTCCGTATATCTATCATGTGATTTTTTATGATACATTACCTGGAACTAACCTTGACACCTCTTCAATTAAACATTCATCTCATGCTATAGTTATGAAAATAAATAATCTTTCATAACCTCCCTCCTAAGAGAAAATAATTACTTTCTTATTCTCTAAACCTTATATCTTTGCAACCTGATATTACGTTTTAAATTGTGAATGGAATCAGTATGAACAGGTTTAAATATCACCATCAGGTTGCAAAGATACCGTTAGAAAGTTAGAATATGCAACGAGTAAATATAGATTCTTTATTGGCAATCCTGTTTAATACATGAAAAAAATATTCCTGGACATGAGTGTAAAAGATGGCTGCCACTGTTCACCGGTTCATTTAAAGTACCGGACCTACTTTAAAGCAGCTAGGACAAGTTTTACAGTACTCAGACACACTATACATATAAGCAGCTAGGACAAGTTGTACAGTACTCAGACACACTATACATATCAGGCAAAACGGGACAGAGCGCCAAATAGTTTATCCCCTTCTAGTGAAATTAATTTGGTTTGTATTTAGAATTGCAGTAAGATGGGAGTAGTTGTTACATCTGCTCGACAAGCGCATCGAAGGTATGTGTTGCATGTACAATGTACATAAATGTGGCATCCTTAGCTAATATGTAATAGTATTTACGTGTACAGCGAATATTCTCAAACATTCTTTTTGATCTGGTTTAACGATACAGCTTTGTGTCCTTATAATACAGCAATATGTTTAATTTATTCACATTAAAATTATGTTTTCGAATGATGAAGGAAACAGAAATTAACAACATTTTTGTTCAAGAAAAAGAAATAATTCGACTGAGCTCATCATTTCTTAGTTTTTTTTAATTGTCTGCCTCATGGCTATAGATGTAAATAGCCCCAAAATCAAAATTTGGATGTCATTTTTTCCGTGCGTCTGTGCGCCTTCCAAAATTAAATAAAACAAGTTCAATTTCAGTCACATCTTTCATCTTTGTTAAAAAGTTTTATTTCAATTCAAAAATATCATTTTATTTAGCAAAA